CTCCAGTAAATCAACGCAACACTGTGAATATATTTATATTGCTCTATGGACGGTGATAATATTACAACGCGTACGATTAATGTGGGTAGGCTAGCTGTCGTTACCCGGTTTCATAATCGATAGGCTCTAGTTCAAATCTTATCTGGGATTCTTTTAATCCTAACCTGGGCCAGTGTACCAAATAGCCACTTAATCACAAATGGATGGGACGTTCAGTGGTAACCTTTGTTACGTTCCCCTGATGTTTGTGTTTGATTAGGGTATGTTCACTGGATCCTCTTCGCAACGAGCAGTGAATCACTGCGGGAACTTGCCCAGATTATTTATTGGGAACTTGTTAATCTGCGTAATCAATAAATGGCGAAATAAATAAAAAAAATCGACGAACACAAATCTCATAACTAATGTGAACTGTCAAGTTCTTGGATGTGCAGTTGCAAGGCCAGACTTCCAAGCGATCAACTTAACGCACTCTTCAGGCTGAAAAAAATCAAAAATGTGATATTTAACAACATTCAAATGTTTCAAATGATTTAATTGAAATGTTTATGTTATCAGCATTTGTGTTACTACAATTAGCGATCTGTTTGAAATCTACACTAAGATATCCATGTTAACTTACGAAGATTTTGATTACACTATACTACTGCGAGATGAAACAATCACATCTAGCAATGCACATATGCGTTGAATTACAGGCGTGTACTGCTGGAAGCAATACTTTGAGACATTGTAATGTACAAGGATTGTGTGAAAAGCGTCCGCAAAATATTGTATTTTTTAATATTTTTATCCATGTTGCCGGATAACGTACGCTGGTTATGGTGTTCTAGTCGCGCGCAATATAGTCCGTATAATGACCTGCCAAACTGCGCATGTGCTTACAAGTACTTACCAGTAATGCAATAAATGTATCGAATGAACAATATGACAAACGCCACAATAGTCATATTTTATTTTATTTTACTTTACTAGAAACACGAATGTGCAATACAGATATTTAAAAAGTGCTAGTCCAAGTTATCCAACTACTGTACTGGAACAAAATGTGATTGCAATGCAAGTTATCCATATTGCCACTTTAACAATCTATATGATATGATTTCAGGCGTGGCATCCTTTTCATCGGCTAGTAGTTAAATGGTGACTCGCTCGGAAATTTGGTTAAAGTTCACTAGGTGGCAGGCTGCGTATCGAATCACCCCGCTATTATTTCCAGTTTAGGCATCTCAGAAGCGGACGTTAACATGATGTGTCATTTATATAACGTGAACTATGCTCGATAGACGGTATAATTATAGTAGCCGCAGAACTCTTGGTGGTATACAGTTTTATTAGTAGATGAAAATATGTGCGTGGATTTCACTGAGAAATTGTGGACTTAGCAGCAAATTATTCAATGTGCTCCAAACAGAATGAAAAAAAACAAACATGTTTCTGCGTTACATCTACGTTGTAATCGTTTTCATATTTTAAATATAAAAATTTCGAATCGAAAGAGTTAAAGGTCAAATGGGTACATTTGTTCAAGCAAATTGTGATGATTGGATTTAAAAAAAAATTAGTAATGGGTTGCTGTACCAAATTCAACCTGAAATAATCTAAATATGCCCGCGTAATGCAGTTTTTCATCATTTGTCACTCTTATATCTACACTACGTTACGATGTGTACGTTTTATAACGATGACAGCAAGATTGTACTTGTTGTCTACGATTGGGAATACTTCTCGTTTCATTCACGAGTTATTTAAAACGCGGGGGGGGGGGCGTGTTGATTGGCACATTTGCAAACTGTGGTATACTATGCTGACACAGTTTGTTACTCGTCCCATGACGTTGTATATTAAGACGTCCGCCCTAGGGTGTTGTAGATTAGGATGCTCTTTCTAGGTGGCCGTATATCAAGATGATCGCCCGAGGTACACCGTATATTAAGTTGCTCGCCCTAGGTCACGGTATAATAAGATGCTCGTCCTAGGTCGCCATATACTAGTATTAAGATTCTCGTTTTAGGTGACCGTATATTAGGATGATCGCCCTAGCTCACGGTATAATAAGATGCTCTCTCTCAGTCACCGCATATTAAGATGCTCGCTCTACAGGTCTCCGTAGCTGGCCGTACATTGGGATGCTCGCCTTAGGTCGTCGTATATTGAGATGGTCACTACAAATTTGGCAATGAATTTTACAAAGCATAGTTTTCAGACGTTTGTGAACATTATTTTACTTTATGTGGCCTCATGTGCATTGTTTTTGCAATTGTGTATCGTCCTTGTATATGATTCATTAATTGATTATACATGTATATTGTTTTAAAATATTTATCGTATTTTAAAATATTCATCCAGGTTGCTGTATATCAATAGTTTCGACGTAGCTCGCTGTATATTAGTATGCCCTCCCTAAGTTTTTTTATTTTATGACCGTCAGGGCGCATTGGCAAAAAAAACACACACAACAACACCCAGCTCTATTTGTTCTTGAACAATACATGGAAAGTGATATTATAATTTGTGTTTATACTGATTAAATAAGGCGGAAGAATCTTAGACTAATAATTTACATGATAATATATACATGCGGTTGTATTACTGGGTTCCGTAAATGTGACGCTCTTGACGAATCCGATACAAGAGTGCGACAAACTGATCAATATATGCCTAATATTGCAACTTACAGACAAACTCATAAGCGGTTTTATTATTACCGTTGAGTTGTGAACTTATGTTTGCCATTACGCATTTCCACAAGACAGAAAATTATACTGACGTTATGAAATTTAATTTGAAATGCACCCCTTTTAATTTTGATAATGTAACTTCACAGTATCGTATCGGTTACCCAAGGAACGATGTTAGGTGGTCTGTATAACCATGGTCAAACTGGAATTGATTTTTTTGTGTCTATATAACCAATTATATAACCGTATATAACAAGTATATAACAGGTGATTGTCCAAAAACGTCGTCTTCAACGTAACAATGGACATCAGAAAACCAGTTCATTTTCGCGTTTATCGGTCTCCCGGCGATCTAGGGTCCCCCACATGTATACGTACTTAGTTAGTCTTGAAATTATTGCCGAACGAGTGGGGAAGAAGATTCAACGCCGCCGTTGAAGGCCTAATATTGCTTGTAAATCACCGAAGTGCGAAATGAAAATCATAATCGATGAAAAAGCCAATTATGCAAGCAAGCACCTTGTTTTGATATAATTCATAATAGATATATAATTATGCCTAATGACCGGTCGTACCCTTATTTTGTTATTGCGTGCAAAAGGTCTCGTATATACATTACGTAAATTATGATTGAACAATTATGCACAGGGGGACTAACAATCAGCAGTTCTCCGTGACCAGTAAAGGGTACCCTTATCATTCCATGGCAAATATCACCATGCCCTCATACATCACAATGATAGAGGACTGCTAATTACTAGCAAGCTAGGGAGTCGTGTATAAGAAAGTTAAAGTTAGGGATACATTACTGATGCTATATAAAAGCTATGTCAATTTGTTGCTTATTGACGTGGTATCTGCATACAGTTGGTACAGGTGACGTAAGGTAAGAGAAAAATATTTGTATCGACAGAGTGTTTGTGTTTCTGTATAGTTACAAATTACTTTACTTTGCAAAAATATTGACCACGCAAGTATGATGGGTATGATATGGATCTTTTAATTGAGGCAACCGAGATTTCTTAACTATTACATGTTATGTACCGGTGTTGAGTAACATAACTCACTCATTTGAGCGACCAGAGCTGTGTTGAACCATCGGCACTAGGTTGGTGTCCGGCTTAATAATATACGTGTTTTCACTTTTTAGAATTTTAACTAAAACTACCGAGTCTTGATTTATTTTAATATCGTATGGTATCTGAATCAGAATTTCAATCGATATATTACCAATCATATCTGTATTTTGCCAACCCAGCATTTTAATGACACGTCGCGTAACTAATAGGAATCGAATATTTTGCGTTATATAGTCTTAAACAGTCATGTGATATATCTAGATACGACAGAAACTGCTAGAATTTTTTTAATTTTATTTATCTATTTATTTATTTTTTTAATTTTTTTTTAATTTTTTTTTTTGAGAAAATATTTTTTGTGCCAGGCGACAGTTCCGGACATTGAATGTCACTGTTGTCTCTCCTGACTTTTGTTTTTGTATGTGCAAATTGCAAGTGCTTATGCTGACACATAGTGCATTTTTCTACATAAGTCATTTCCTATTTTAGACTACATGACAGGGCTGTGCGGCCATCTCCCTATCAAATGGCAATTTAATGCGCTATCCTGGCGTCAACCAGGCTCGGTCGAACACAAGCACCTGCGGACCTTAACCAAGGTTCCCTCAAATTCGCATTCGTTAGTGAATGAATCTCGACCTTTTAATGTTCAGCCTTATGGTAGGATTTGAACTTGGGGCTACCGATCATGAGTCTGATGCGACAACCACTGCTAGAAAATGCTAGTTCGGCATGCACCTTTAACAACACTACAGTTCCATTTTACAGTTCCGTGTAATAAAGCTGTTAATTATTCGTGCATCCCCACAACTGTAAATATAGTGATGCCTCAAAAAATACGGCGATCGGTAAATGAGTCAATATGTCAAGATATCTTGACTACACACTCATCATGATCACTGCACCAGTTTTTCAGCCCAGGAAACTGTGAAATGGTTACATAGGATAAACAGGATATCAAATCCGTGAACTTACAATTATATCAAAATTATATAAAATTTGTTCCTAGCCTTTAATAAATAAATTGTAGTGTTACTTGTGAGATCATATCATCTATTTAACATCGCGTCTATACATATATTAGGCGTGTGACGTAAACAGTCTCGTTATCGAACGAATAAATAATCTGCATAATATAAGTGGAAACTTAATATGTTTATCATTCGTTTCAGAGGGAGGGTGCCGAGACAGCAGACTGTTTTAGTTCGCGAATGAGAACCATTACAATTACACAAATACTATGCTATCTAAAATTAGAAGTCTCGAAGCGTCCTGCAGAGACCTGGACCCTGGCTTTGAACAGAGACAGAAATGGGTGCACCAGGTAGTGGATCATACTGAACAGTTTATCACAGGATTGGAGGATGACCAATCACAGGCATATCGTACAAATAACAAAGAAGGAAAGGGTATATTGGAGAGCCCGATCAACGACAACCCCACTCCCATGGGTAAGAAGGAATCAATGTTGTCATTCACTGAAGCAATCCGTTCTCTCTGCTGCTGTGGTTCATTTAGGGGCGTGGCTTTCTGAGAATTGTCGTGGAAATGATTTTGTCGCGGCTATCAGAAACGTGCACGTTTGTTGTTATTTTTCATTTATCCCTTCAGAAAAGAACACCAGTTTATTCAAGAATAACAACCGTATTTCAGTCGATATGTCATTGCGTTTTAGATCTAAACCAAATTTGCCTATTATGTAACTACTGGGGCTGGTGAAATAAATGACCACGTAAATAATGTGCTATATTTATTTATGCACTTCCTTCGACTATTATGTGGTGGTACGTGCATATCTATATCCCGTTAGCGATAAAATAGTTGCGGGTCTTTTTTCGCATTGTAATTGAGTGTGATGTATCGAACTGTTAGGAACGAAATTTACCCGTAAACGATGTGACGTATGGCAAATGACGAATGACGCCTGTCTTCCTGATTTTACTGTCTGTTTTTGACATAAAATGAGCGAATGTCTCGTCACACTGAAAAGTCCTTCAAATTTCGTACTCATTGCCTCAATATGTGCGCCCTCAACTGCGATCGAACCTAGGTCAAAATTGAATAGTATCTTCGTTCAGTTTATCACCCCTCCACCTCGTTAATGAAAATATCTGGGAGCTTTCATCTTACATAAATAATACTCAGACTGAAAAGTTACATTGAAATTAGCGTGTAGTTAATTACAAGTTAAGTCCCGAGCGGTCTCTTGTATTGTCTATACGGGTATACGAGACACCAATTTTAAGTTTGGTGAATATCGCTGTCAAAGAGACCAAATCCTTTAAAACAATTTCTTCGGGGAAACCCGCCCCTTAAATTAAATTTACAAGAAAACTCCACCTCAAAATCATTACCACGGTAAAATGGACCTATTATTGCCACATATCCTACATTTTATCACCACCGCTATAGCAAAAATACGAGCCTTTTGAATCCCGAAAAAAGTCAAAAATGACCCTATGACCACTGAAAATGTAACTCCTGAGGTGTCTCGCATGCCCGTTGGTAAGTTTTGACTATGCCCCCTTCCGGGGAAGGAACACTCGAAGTTGACGTAATTTTCATGTGAAATCCCGGGCAAGTCATACATTGCAAAATAGTCATCGCACATATTGTTGCGATGACTATTTTATAATCCGGAATTCGCAAGAATCTTTTCATGTAATTGACAATTAAACTATCACGGCGCATTGCGATCAGCCATGTTTGTCACAGGGAGATTGAACTCATATCTCTAATGTCTTTGGTTACAGAGGATCTACTACAGCTATTTGAGGAGAACGTTGAACGATGTGGGCTGGTAGAATCGCATGGTGGACATATGGCATACATAAATAGTGGCGGCGTGTTTCCCTCGGCGCTGGGCGACTACCTTGCTGATGTCGTTAACCCGTACTCTGGTAAGTAAACCGGTAATTATACACATTATAAATATACTGTGACTGATTACATGGACGGATGTCACCTCGCGTTAACCACATAATAAATGTAATTGCTATTGCTAGTTCAACCGATTGAACTCATTAGTTCGAATTAGTTTATGTAATTCATCTATTCACTCCATTTATTTATTTATTTTTATTATGTTTATTTATTAACAGCGGTCTTTCACGATAGTCCCGGCAGTGTGCGTCTAGAGAATATGGTCATCAACTGGATTGGACGAACATTTGGCTTCCCAGAAGGCTTCGCGGGTAATCTTACTTCCGGTGGTTCCGCGTCAACGATTCTTGCCTTGGCAACTGCAAGAGACAGTAAAAACGTGAAAGCCGCTGATTTCAGCAGGTATGTAATCAAAGCGTCATCTGTGTACGTGGGTGGAATTTAATTTGTTTTTTATTTAGTTACGAATGGTTCCCCGCTTGCTGGTGTTGAGATCATGGTGTAGTTTGCTTTTAATTACGTTAACATATTCTCTGTTAATAATTGACAGGTGCGTGGTTTACATGACTCAGATATCTCACTACTGTGTGGAGAAAGCCTTAAACACAATCGGAATGCGAGAAGCAGTACGTCGCACTATACCAACCGATAAAAGTACATACAAAATGAATGCAGAAGAACTCAAAATAATGATAGAAAAAGATAAAAACGTAAGTCTACTCACGTCGCAAGGGAAAACACAGTTGTGGGTGATTATATACTTCATCAATCTTCGTTAATTCTTACAATAATAACGTCGTTACGACGCCCTCTGCCGATAGTTACATATTCAAGTTCTGCCGCCTACGTGTTACCTGTTTTAATGTTAATTATTAGTAATAACAGGATAACGCACTAATATTCTAATATTCTAATATTCTAAGTCTACCCACGCAGCAGGAGCAACATAGTTACCAAAAGTTGTAGGAGATTAGATACTGGACCCGAACCGAATATGTTGATACCGCTGGAGTTAATCATTAATAAAGATGCCAGTCTTTCTGCAGGTTTAGATTTAAGAATTCGATTCCGTCTTCACGTGAACCTATATTTAGATTAACCAAAGTTATTACTTTTTTCATTTGTTTCAGAATGGACTTATACCTTTTCTGGTGTATGCCACTGCTGGTACCACGGATCTGGGCTCCATCGATCCATTGAATGAAATTGCGTCCATAGCAAGACAACACAGCTTATGGATGCATGTCGATGCTTGTTACGGTGGATTTTTTATTATGTCCAACGAGGCTAAACCAAGGTTTCGAGGTATTGAAAGATGCGATTCACTGGCAGTTGATCCGCATAAAAGTACGTTTGAATTACAATTAATCTATTCTTCAAATTTTAGTTATCATGAAAAACTGTAGATTCTCTTTTACTAGTTGGAGTTGGTCCTAAAATGTTCATAATAAATTATTAACTATTCGCTATGATCACTAATTTATTGTAAATTTATTTATATTGCGTGTATTGGGGTGGTATCCACGCAACAACATCCGTTAAAGACTTAATCGGAGATAAATTGTCTTCATGTTTTTTTTTGTTTTTTTTCTAATGCGCATGACTCAATTTGAAACATAGGTCTATTCATTCCGTATGGATGTGGTTGCGTCATTGTAAGGCAGGGTAGCAAGTTGAAGTACAGCAACGCTTTGAACCGTCCAGCGTTCTACCTCGAAGATTCCTTCAAAGATGAACGTGAGGATGAACCATCGCCATGTCATCTATCATTCGAACTCAGTCGTCATTTCAGGTAATATAAGTATTTCAATGTCATAATGAATATAATAATTATATATACATTTAGCGTACATTTTGTAAAAAAACGGCGTTGGGTCAGCGCATACTGCAAGTGCGCCCACCACCACGACAACATGTTTGCGGTGTGCGCTCTCTTAATTGAGTTCACGTATTTTTTTTTACAAATGATAAACAATATTTTCCATCATTTCAGAGGAGTGCGAGTGTGGATGCCATTGAAGCTATTTGGACTCGCACCATTCAGAGATGCATTGACGGAAAAGATATTGTTAGCACGTTACTTCCATGAACAACTAGCAGGTAATGACATTATATGTTCTGAGTGTATTTGTAAAGATTGTTACTTTCAAAGTAACGTAAAAGTTGACTGCCTGTAGTTAACGGTTATTTTTTAGGGCGGGTTGTTCTTCAAACACAAACTAAGTAGTTCTATTTATCTATTTACAGAACGAGGCGACTTCCAGTTAGGACCATATCCCGAATTATCAGTAGTTGTATTCCGTTATGCCAAAGCTCCGAACGACACCGAGAAATTCAATAAACAATTACTGGACAGTCTGATGCGGGACGGCAGAGTGGCGCTTGCTTCCACGCGACTACGCGGTGTTTACTATCTTCGTATGTGTGTCCTCTGTTTTCGAACACACCTGAAAGAGGTTGACTTGCTTCTAGAAATGGTTGACAAGAACGTTGAGACTTATC